ATCTGAAGGGACAAGAGAGTGAACCTCTCACATCATGCTGTACCAAAAATTACCAGTTGATGATACAGGTGAGAATCATAGAATCATACAGCACAGAAGGAGGCCATTTGGCCCATCATGTCTGTGTCAGCTCTTTGAAAAGAACTATCCAATTCAATCCCATGCCCCCCCACTCTCCCCATAGCCCTACAAACTTGTCTTCCCCAAATAATTATCAACTTCTCTCTTAACAGAAGTTATCAAATCGACTTCCACCAGCCTTTCAGGCAATGCATTCCAGATCCGAACAACTCGCTGTGCGAAAAAATTCTCCACCCCCCCCTCTCCCGTTTCTTTTAACAACTATTTTAAATCAGTGTCCTCGGGTTACCAACCCACCCGTCAGTGGAAATAGTTTCTCCTTGTTCACCCTATCGAATCACCTCATAATTTTGAAAACATCTATTAAGTCACCTCTTAACCTTCTCTGCTCCAAGGAGAAAAGGAGCTTTACCGCCTTTCAACCACCTATAACCGAAACACTATCAGAGAGCAGTGAGTGTAGCAATCTATCAGCATTAGAATATTAAAAATTCTACCACCAAAGCCCAATATGACTAGTACTTTGAAACTCACATTTTCAAATGCAGATACCCCCTTGCAATAACTAGTTTAATTCTTAAACTAGATACTCAAAAGTAGAGCAGAAAAGCCAAATCATTCAGGTAAATTGCTGCACACTGAACTATTTATGTTATATAGTTCACCAGCAATTTAATTTGTTGCAATTGGATGAGAGAACTTTAGATGAAAAATGATGAACATCATTTCACTGAAGTCCCAAAGCTCAAGACAAATTAAAGTTAATGCATTCAAAACTGATATGAAAATCACCTCCATGCAGCTACGAGACACTTTAATGGCCCAAACTACCAACTCATCTCCCAGCCACTTGATCCTTCCTCAAAAGGAAAACGAGAGTGAGGCTTTTGAGTAAGTTGTGCAGTGTCAGAACCAGGCCAGCTGTACAGTAAAACTAGATAAAAATACAGTGCTGTACTTAATAAACTAAGTAAAAGAAAGTAGGCGCTCGCGTTTGAAGGACAAAAGATGTAAATAACAAGGAGACATCGGAGTTCACCTTCTGCAATACAATTCTGTCAATCTTTAGCGTTGTAAAACAACACTAAATTCTTGTCTAAGCTAAACGCAAACATGGGAAAGTACGTTTTGCATCAAAACCCTTTGAAACGTATACAGTAAAGCCGTCTAACTACTGAAGTTATGCTTTTAACAGATGGTTCATTTTACCCCCTCCTTAAATGGCATCTGGGATTCTAGACCAGAGCAATTGATAACAGCTGTACACTGGCTATCCACAGCAGACTATTTAATACTGTATACAATAATCTATTGGGTCATTGTTTGTGTGGGAAAGAGTAATCCAGTTTTGTGCCAACCAATCTGGTAATGTTCGGTGGTGGGGAGAGAAGGATGCAATTCATTTTATTCACCGGAGAACATTGAAGACCAAAGCTAAAACCGGCTCAAACGGCAGAAAACAAGTCCACCTCAACACACGGCCTTTTTAACTGCATTTCAAGACTGATGCATCTTCCAGGGTCCCTTACAGGTGCATCCCACAACTCCCCAAGATCAGTAAATAATTCAATAACCTCAAACCGCCACAGGGTTCTTTAACTAATCTCTGCCAATCTCTCCTCTTCCCCCCCTCCCCCTCAAACCAATATAAAGTGCCCAGTCTGACTGACTAAATAAACCGAGCAAAGGGTATGGGTTAATTGATGACGGTGCATTCTCTCCGACAGTGTGAGTGAGCAGCGAGTACAGTACAGTAGGTCGGGCCTGCGGGTGTGGTGGTGGGGGGTGGAGGCAGAGAGGGAACATTCCCAGTCAGACAGGCACATGCTGCCAGACGATTAAACCTTCCAACGTATTACTGCAGTGCAGAGAGAAACCCACAAATTGTAACGAGCATAAGCAAAAAGCCACACCCACCCACTGCCGGGGAGCAGCACCGAGCCAAGTCCATGTGGAAAACGCCGATAAAACTGCTAACGAGGAAGGAAGGGCCTCACATACACAGACAGACACACAGACAGACAGACAAACGCTCAGCCAATTTGTTTTAAAGCCTCCGAAAAGAACATTTGCACTCAAATCGCCTCCTCCTGTGCCCTCTCTCCTCCCCCCCTCACCCCCTCTCTCCACAACATCGAATCGAAATGAATACGGATTTAGTTCGAATTGCAATTTTTTAAGATAAAAATTCAGAAGGGCAAACCTTCCATTTTAATAACTTTCTCTCTCTCTATATATATATAGTTTTTAAAATATAGAAAAAAAGCTAATTTTAGCAAACCACGTTTCCCCACAAATATATCAGCACTTTGCTCATTCAACGCCACGGTAACATTTTAACAAGGCGCTCAACTCACGGACAAGAAATCGTGTCACACACATACATGTATACACACACACACACACATATACATACATGTCGAGTTATTTCGGTTGAGAATTCACAACGAACCAGAAGGGCAAGGTCTAAATCGGGCATTAGTTTAATACCGCACATTAAAGCTGGTCCTACCTTACGTACAATTCAGGATTAAGCGTCATTTGTAGTTGTGTAATGTATATATATATATATGTGTATATAGAGGGAGAGAGATTTAGAAAATCTCATCTTATAAAAGCTTCCACTCCCTTCCAGAAACACACCGGATTTGTGCAAAATAAAAAAAAACAGGCAGACAATACCCACAAAAAAAGCCACCGAAAGAAAAAAAAAGTTGCAATTTACAAGTTTAACTTACTCTCCTGCACAACAGAAAAAGTTTTTTTTAAGGGGGAAAAAGCAGCTAAACCTTGCATTCTCCCCAAGAGTGACTCTTCCTAAATGCTACGCACTCTCTCGTCTTTTCTCGACAATATGGCATACGTTCAGCCCCCCCAAAAAATGCACACGATTGCACTCCCCAGATAGGTCTTGCACACACACACACAATATATATACACATACACACACACAAAAAAAAACTTTGTCTGCTTTTTTAAAAAAAAATCAAATCGTTACCCAAGAACAAAAAAAAATGCAGCAAAAAAAAACTTTTTACGTAACACAGGTACTGGGTTTTCTTTATGGACACACACACAGACCACGAGCAAATAATTCCCATTCCCCTCCTCCCCAACCGCCGCACTTAAAATAAAAAAACAAAAAAAAATGTGTGCGCGGGGCTGAGAGTCGAGTCTTTGAACGATGGTGGACCGGGGCTGTGAAATAAATGTGTGTGTGTGTGAGAGAGAGAGAGAGGGAGGGAGACAGGATGAGGGAGGGAGGGAGGGAGGCAGGAAGGAGTGAAGTGAGCTGGGTTACGCCATGCTGCTGCTGCTCTGCTGCTGCTCTGCTGCACAGCGCAGACCCAACCACCATCCGATTCCGCACATGTGCGCACCGGCGTCTGCCACTGACTGACTCCACTCCACTTGACTGACTGACTGTGAGTGACCGACTGACTCCACTGCAACCGGTTTCAACGTGTCAGTCGTCATTCCAGTCAGTCAGGAGTGAGTGAGTGAGTGAGGTATGTGAGTCAGTGAGTGACCGGGTGTGAGGAGGGAGTACCCTGACTACTACCCCCCCACCACCCACACACACACACACCACCAAACCCCACCCCCCGAGGCTTTCAGGGTGTTGGGGAGGCCAGAGAAGGGGGTTAAAAAGAGGGGAGAGAGGGGGTGGGGAGTAAATGTCTCACTCCCCCTCCCCCCCCTCTCTCTCTCTGGTTGAATTCTCAACGTGTCAGTTAGCAGAGGGAGGGTTAAGAGGGCGGGGGGTGGGGGGGCAGTTTTAACCCAACCCCGAGGCTCGGGGGTGTTGGAGGCCAGAGGAGCGGGTGGGTGTCTCATTGCTTCTCTCTCCCCCCACCCGGGGGGAGGGGGGGGGGCGGGTTGGCAAACACCACGCGGCCGTGACGTGTTTGCCGACCCGGCGCCTCCCCCCCTCCCCCCCCCGGGGGGTGAATGGGGCGGGGAAAGACACCTCGAGTCAGGCCTAACTTTTTATTAAAACTTAATTCCCCCCCAAAAAAAACACTCTCACTGCAACTCTGCCCTCTCTCACTACCCCCCCCACCCCCGTTACATTAAACAAACAGCAGCAGCCGCGCCCCAGCCCGAGTCTGGGGGGGGGGGGGGGGAATGGGGAAATGTGGGCCCTGTCTGAGGCCTCTCCCCCCCCCTCCCTCTCTCCCTGGGGTCGGGTCAGGCGCCTCCTGCTACCCCCCCCCCCCCTCTCTCTCTCCCCCCCTCCCAGGGGCAATGAGGCGGTGCGGGAGTAAGAAACGTGGAGCGAGGCCTCTGTGTGTGTGTGTGTGTGTGCGGTGCCGGCATTGAGGAGGGAGCAGCGCTAGGCCTCAACCCGGCGGCTCGTGTGAGTGTGTGTGAGTGAGTGAGGGGGAGGCCTCGGGTGAAAGGCTGTGCCGCTCCCCGACCCCGCAGCTTGAGTGAGAGAGAGAGAGAGAGAGAGAGGGGGGGAGGCCGGCAGCAAAAGGGGGTAAATGACCGGCAACCAGTGTGTCTCTCCAACCGGCGCCGGTCTCTCAGGGCCTCGCCACACACACACGCACGGCGCCGGGTGGGTAGGGGGAGCCCCGGGCCTTACTGGTGAGCCCCTGGGCAGAGAGAGAGAGAGAGAGAGAGGGGGAGGTTTAAAACAGACCCCGAGGCCTGAGGCCCGGGTTGACACACACACACATACAGAGAGAGAGACGGAGCGAGCGGGAGGGCGCCGGGGCCGGGCCGGGCGGGCGGGCGGGTTTCTCGGTGATTTATTCCGCCGTCTCCCGCCTCGCGAGCGGCCGGGAGACAAAAAATAAAGGGCGGGAGTCGGAGCCCGGCGGCCCGGGCAGGCGGAGGGCCGTGTGCCGGGGGCTCGGGCGGGGTCTGGGCCCGGGATGGAGGCGGATGGCGCGGGGATGGCGATGGCGTACCTCTCTCCTCCTCAGTCCGCGAAGCCGGACGCTCGGCTGCCTTCGGAGGTTTCCGCTCCCAGCGGCCCGGCAAGAGGGGCGTGAGCACGTGACCCGGCCCGCAACTCGGCCCGCTGCGGCTCACAGCTGCAACACACACAGAGGGGGAGGGAGGGGGTGAGGCACAGAGAGAGGGGAGTGAGGCACAGAGAGAGGAGTGAGGGAGTGAGGCACGGAGAGAGAGGGGGAGGGAGTGAGGCACACAGAGAGGGGGAGGGAGTGAGGCACGGAGAGAGAGGGGGGGAGTGAGGCACACAGAGAGGGGGAGGGAGTGAGGACAGAGAGGGGGAGGGAGTGAGGCACGGAGAGAGAGGGGGAGGGAGTGAGGCACAGAGAGAAGGGAGTGAGGCACAGAGAGAAGGGAGTGAGGCACAGAGAGAGAGGGGGAGGGAGTGAGGCACAGAGAGAAGGGAGTGAGGCACAGAGAGAGTGAGGCACAGAGAGAGGGGGAGGGAGGGAGTGAGGCACAGAGAGAGGGGAGTGAGGCACAGAGAGAGGGAGTGAGGCACAGAGAGAGGGGAGTGAGGGAGTGAGGCACAGAGAGAGGGGGAGGGAGAGAGTGAGGCACAGAGGGGGGGAGGGAGGGAGTGAGGCACAGAGAGAGAGGGGGAGGGAGTGAGGCACGGAGAGAGGGGAGTGAGGCACGGAGAGAGAGGGGGAGGGAGTGAGGCACAGAGAGAGGGGGAGGGAGTGAGGCACAGAGAGAGGGGAGTGAGGCACGGAGAGAGAGGGGGAGGGAGTGAGGCACAGAGAGAGGGGAGTGAGGCACGGAGAGAGAGGGGGAGGGAGTGAGGCACAGAGAGGGAGGGGGAGGGAGTGAGGCACAGAGAGGGAGGGGGAGGGAGTGAGGCACAGAGAGGGGAGTGGCACAGAGAGAGGGGAGTGGCACAGAGAGAGAGGGAGTGGCACAGAGAGAAGGGAGTGGCACAGAGAGAGGGAGTGGCACAGAGAGAGGGGGAGGGAGGGAGGAGTGAGGCACAGAGAGAGTGAGGCACAGAGAGAGGGGGAGGGAGGGAGTGAGGCACAGAGAGGGGGGAGTGAGGCACGGAGAGGGGGAGGGAGTGAGGCACAGAGAGAGGGGAGTGAGGCACAGAGAGAGTGTGGCACAGAGAGGGGGAGGGAGGGAGAGAGAGAGTGAGGCACAGAGAGGGGGAGGGAGTGAGGCACAGAGAGAGGGAGTGAGGTATAGAGGGGAGGGAGGGAGTGAGGCACAGAGAGGGGGAGAGGGAGTGAGGTACAGAGAGAGGGGGTCAGGGAGGGAGTGTGATACAGAGAGAGGGAGAGTGTGATACAGAGAGAAAGGGAGTGAGGGAGTGTGATACAGTGAGGGGGGGAGCGAGGGAGTGTGATACAGAGAGAGGGAGAGAGTGTGATACAGAGAGAGGGGTCAGGGAGGGAGTGTGATACAGAGAGAGGGGGTCAGGGAGGGAGTGTGATACAGAGAGAGGGGGTCAGGGAGGGAGTGTGATACAGAGAGAGGGGGTCAGGGAGGGAGTGTGATACAGAGAGGGGGAGTGATACAGAGAGAAAGGGAGTGTGATACAGTGAGGGGGAGTGTGGGAGTGTGATGGGGGGGGGGGGAGGGAGTGTGATACAGTGAGAGGGGGAGCGAGGGAGTGTGATACAGAGAGGGGGAGTGAGGGAGTGTGATACAGAGGGGGGGAGGGAGTATGATACACAGAGGGAGGAAGTGTGATACAGAGAGAGGGGGTCAGGGAGGGAGTGTGATACAGAGAGAGGGGGTCAGGGAGGGAGTGTGATACAGAGAAGGGGGGAGGGAGGGAGTGTGATAGAGAGAGGGGGGGAGGGAGGGAGTGTGATACAGAGAGAGGGGGTCAGGCAGGGAGTGTGATACAGAGAGGGGGAGGGAGAGAGTGCGATACAGAGGGGACAGAGGGAGGGAGTGATACAGAGAGGGAGGGAGTGTGATACAGAGAGATACAGAGGGAGGGAGTGATACACAGATACAGAGAGAGGGAGGGAGTGACAAAGAGAGAGGGAGTGATACACAGAGAGAGAGAGGGAGTGATACACAGAGAGAGAGGGAGTGATACACAGAGAGAGAGAGGGAGTGATACACAGAGAGATACAGAGAGAGAGGGAGTAATATACAGAGAGTGAGAGAGAGGGAGTGATATACAGAGAGGGGGAGAGTGATATACAGAGGGAGGGAGTGATACAGAGAGATACAGAGCGAGAGTGATAGGGAGTGAGAGATGGAGTGATACACAGAAAGATACAGAGTGAGTCATACAGAGAGGGAGAGAGTCATACACAGAGATATAGAGAGAGGGAGTGATACACAATTATAGAGTGAGAGAGGGAGTGTTACACAGAGATACAGAGATATGGAGTGAAACAGAGTGAGGGAGTGATACACCGAGAGATACAGAGTGAGAGGGAGAAATACACAGAGATACAGAGTGATAGAGAGAGGATGATGCACAGATACAGAGTGAGGAGACGGAGTACTATACAGAGTGATACATAGAGAGATACAGAATGAGAGGGAATGTGATATAGAGAGTGAGAGAGGGAGTGTGATACACAGAGAGATACAGAGTGAGAGAGGGGGGTGATGCACAGATACAGAGTGAGAGGGAGTGAGAGTTACAGAGTGAGAGGGGGTGATACACAGATAGGGAGTGAGAGTGGGATACACAGAGATACAGAGTGAGATACAGAGAGAGGGAGTGTGTGATACACAGAGATGCAGCGTGAGAGGAGTGATACACAGATACAGAGTGAGGGATATATATACAGATAGTGAGGGAGTGAGAGAGAGATAGAGGGAGAGATAGAGAGTGTGACAGTGAAAGAGAGATATAGAGCGAGTGTGTGTGATAATGTACAGAGAGAGAGGGTGAGCGGGTGATAGTGTGTGTGAGACACTGAGAGAGGAGTAACAGTAAGAGAAATATTGTGAGGCAGCAACAGAGATTGAGAGAAAAGAGTATGACAAGTGAGAGATAGAAAGAGAGTGACAGGCAGAGAGAGGGAGAGAAAGAGAGTGAAAAGGAGAGGTAGAATGTGACAGTGTGAGAGAGTAGGAAATAGAGAGTGTGACAGAGAAAGTGAGTGTGACAGTGTGTGCGTATGAGATAAACTGACAGTGAGAGAAACTGTGAGCGTGACAGTGTCTGTGTCAGAGAGTGATAGACGGTCTGCGAGAGACGGTGTGTGACAGGTGAGAGGGAGATCAGAGGATGAGAGAGATCAGAGTGAGACATTGTGTAACAGTGTGTGAGAGAGCGATCAAAGAGAGTGAGCGTGTTTGAGAGAATCAGAGACGTTATGACAGTGTGAGATCAGAATGAGAGAAAGAGAGCAGAGATTAGTGTGAGAGAGCAGAAGAAACATTTTATATAATTACAATAATCTCCTCTGTGCACGTGCGGAACCCCATACTGAACAATATCAGCAACAACTTGCATTTCACGCAGAGTGGGGTCCCAGAGCGCTTGAAATATCCAAACCAGACAGAGTTCCACCTATGTAGGTCACCTGCAACATGGAAATTTCTTTGGGTCTGGAATGGAATGTGCTCTCCATCTCTCTATCTCCCTGAAAAAAATGGTTCCTTCTCACCTAATTCCAAAGATTATCAGGTGCAGGTTGGAGAGAGCCGAGGCTTGGGGACCCCAGAGGGTGTGTTGGGGTAACTGCTGGAATTTAATCAGTTATAACCACACAGCTTGCCATTGAGAGCTGCCAAGGTTCCCACTGCATTTTGGTTAACAGGAGCCAAATTGGGGGCGGGGGGGAGAGAAAGATTGCTGTGGGACAACCTGCCCCATCGCCCACTCTCACACTTTCAAGCAGTGGACACTGGCCTGAGACAAGAAGTAACGTGGCTAATCCCTACCCCAGGAGATAAAACAGTATAGACCAGTAAATCACTGCTCAGAAGCTTGTAGGTTCAAGACCCACGCCTGGACTTTTGGGATAGCACCATGGGATTTTTAACATCCACCTAAACTGGACCTCGGTTCAACATATATCGAAGGATGGCGCCTCTGACAATGCAGCTTTCCATTAGAGCATCAGCCTCGGCTATATGAATTTGTGGAGTCCTGTAGCATATTGGTTACAGCACTCGCGAGTGAAAGGACCCGGGTTCGATTCCCGGGCAGGATGTAATGTTAGGCAAGTTTCGTTACTCCGCACGTCTCTGTTTACTTAGCAGTAAGTAGGAACCCGGTTGTTAGTTGATTGGCGGATCGCCTTTCCGGGCGTAATAATCCCTTCAATAGAAATAATAGTGTTCACTCAATCCACGACTCTTTCAGGGACACTGCTGTGCGCAGTTGGCTTCTGCGGTTCGCCCACAAGGCATACAGTCAATTCACTTTACAGTGTATCCTGTGAGGCGCTTTGAGACATCTCGAAGATGCGATAAGGCGCCGATTCAAAGGCAAGGATTATTATTATAAAGCAATCAGATTCTAAAAGCTACAACAGAATGCATTGATTCACTCTTAACAGTTACTTACTCGGCTGATCTTATCTTCTTTGCCATGACAGTCTGTGCATTGGAGCTGAAGAAGGAAAAGACTTGCTCGCGGGAGGAAACTGCGCGTTCCTAACAGCAATTTAATCTCATTGACACTAACGGGGTGTATTTACATACAGTATTTACATTATTTATATATTTTACCCCTTAAAACACAGCAAAAATATTTGGGGGACCAGGTCCGAGTGAGATCCCTGAGGTCACCACCTGTCCTGTGACATCACAAAGTAACTCAACCGCCTTCAGACTTTAAAATCAATAAAAAGTCAACACTTTTTTTTTTACTCACTCTCACGCCGGTGTCCGCACTCCCAACAACTTACAACAACACGGCGCCTTTCACTTCGGGAGGACATCCCAAGGCGCTGGACAGTCAGGGATTTGGACCCCGGCTGGGGTTGGGATCAGGAGGGGTGGAGGGCAGGGAGGAGAGAGGTAGGAGGATGGCTTGAAGCCACGGTCAAAGAGGAACCTCTTGATACACACACTCACACACACACACACTC